GGGGGGGGGGGGTAAGAAGCAATAAGGTGAATTGTAGATGGAAGGGGAAGGAAATAGAGGAAGTGAAAAAGTTTAAGTATTTGGGTTATACGATACAGAGGAATGGGGGGCAAGAGGAACATGTAAAGGAAAAGTAGCGAAGGCGCTGGCAATGATGGGACAGGTGTGGGGGATAGGAAAAAGAAGGTTTGGGAAAGATTGGAAGAGGAGGGTATGGCTTTTTGATAAGTTGATTTGGGCAATGTTGAGTTATGGGGCGGAGATTTGTGGTTGGAAGGAAAGGGAGGCGGTGGAGATTGCAGGAGAGGTATTTAAAGTGGGTGTTAGGGATAGAGAGAGGGACGCCGGGGTACTTGGTAAGGGAGGAATTGCAAAGGGAGAAGTTAAGGGTCAGGGCGGGAAAAAGGGCGTGGGCATTTGAAGAGAGATTAAAGGGAAATGGGGGGAGGAGTTGGCGCGGTTATGTTGGGAGGAGTTGAGAGGGAAGATGAGGGGAAGGGAAAATGTAGAGGGATGGATGCGGAAAAGACGGCAATTTTTTGAGGACAGGGGAATGGAGTTAGAGAGTTGGCAAAGGGGGGAGTTGGAGGGGGAGAGGCTATGGGATGAGTTATGGGAGAGGGATAGGGAATTACAGAGGCTGGAAAGATGGGAAAAAATAAGGGTTACGAGATATAATAGGTGGTATGGATGGGTAAAGGGAAAGGGGGTGCCGGAATATTTAAGGAAAGGTTGGGGGGAGGGGAGATGGAGAAGGGTGGGTAGATTTAGATTGGAGAATGAGGTGAGGGAAGGGAGGTATTGGGAAGGAGAGGAGGAAAGGAAAGGCAAGCTGTGTGGGAGTGGGAAACATGGGAGCACTTATGGGAGGGTTGTAGGGAGGACGGGGGAAGTAGGAGGGTGGCAGGAGGTGGTAGGGAAAATTTTGAGAGAAGAATGGGAGGGGGGATGAGGGAGATGGAGGAAAGAAGGAGGGCGAAGGCGAGGGGGGGAGGAATAAGAGAAGGGGAGGGTATGAGAGGAGGGAGGGGAAGGGAGGGAGAAAGGGGAGGGAGGGGGAGAGAGAGAGTGAGTGAGTGAGAGAATGAGGGGAAGAGGGAGGCTCTGTGAGGAAGAGTGGAGTCAGAGAATATTTTTAGAAGAAGGAATCCACGATAATTGAGTGGAAAGACGCTGGAAACGGAAGTCTCTAGCGGAGAGAGAGAAAGAGTGAATAGGCGGCGTAGATTAAGTTAGATCAAGTAGGTTAAGTCCCCCGTGAGTGGAGAGCCTTGTCGTGGCACGGGGGCTCACCCTCTCTCTTAGAGAGCCCCGGGTGCCAATACTCCACAGTACGGAGTCCCTCGTTAGATAAAGGGACTCTGTACGCTGGGTCCGGCGTCCCAAGGGCCCTCCACACTCCCCGGAGTGTGGAGGGTCTGGAGGAACCATCTGTTACAAGATGGGGAATCAATACGCCGGTAGGAGAAGGCAACTCCGACTTCAAATCCCGGTGATTCGGCACCGTTAGAGGGGGGTCTGCTCCCTTCCGAAGGCGGAGTGGTATTCGTCCACCACGGCCCTCGGGCCCGCGTGGGGCCCTCCCCTTCCCCCTCGGGGGACGGGGTGGTTCCCTCGCGGTACCGAGGACTGGAACGACGACGCAGCACCATTGCTGCAGGCGGGCTCTGGCTTCGGACATTGAACCCATGCCACCAAGGAGAGCGAATGCCTGGTGGGGTTAACCCCATTGCACACAGGCATTCACCACCAGGTTTGCTCCAGTGGGCGGTCGTTCTTCATGAACTATCGCCCATTGCACACTGGGCGTCACTGGTGGAGACGCGGCCCAAGGGCAGTGCTTCGTGCCATCGTGGGGCGGGCGGGGTGCTGTCTGAGGGCTGTGGGAGAGTGCGCGGGGCCGCTCGGCTTTGTCCGAGGTAGGTACCGTACACCCTTGGTGAGGAAGTAGTGGGCCCCTCTGTGGGGCGCCCGGTGGGGTGGCCCGTTCTCCCGGGCGACTGCTCGCGCGGGCGACCGCTGGTCTGCGGTAATGCAGACCAGTTTGGTTCGCCCCCGCTGGATG